GCGTATTTATCCTGCATCAGCAATGCAGGAAGAAGCTTCTGCTTACAGCCTTTGCAAAATGAGCCAGAAACAGAGCTCACTGGACAGTTTTTTTGGAAAGGGTAAGTTACGGGTTCATCGCTTATTTATTTACTGTTATTGGAACCTTCACGCCCCTACCTGGTCCTTGAAAAAGTGTTCCTGCGTGAAACTGGTCCCTGGTACAAAAAAGGTTGGGGACCACTGGACTAGAGGACCTCCCGGGTCCCTTCCAGCTCTGTTATTCTGTCCCTTCCCAAGGCTCCGTGGCTTGTTACAGCCCCACCGACTGCAATCTAGCAGGTTAAATGATTTTAGCCGCACAGTTTATTAAAACTGGCAAGTGCTCGCTCCAGTTCTTTTCCTGTTCGGCAAGGCTGTCAGAGAGAATAATTGACAGTGGCAGCTGTTCAGGGAGTGTTTTAGATGGGGCAGGATGATGGCTCTTGATGGACAGCTCTGCGCAAAGGAAGAGAAGGGTTAGAGGTGGGATTTGCGTCCGGGCTCCAGGAGAAGAGTCGTCCTTAGAAGGAGCAAATGTGTGTCTCTGTGTGTAGAGGGGTGCAATGCAAAAGGAACTCAGCACAATGTCCCCTATGCAGGATTTGGATTGGAAAAAGACATCCCCAAACCCACACCAGAATTTTAAATGCTTCTGTTTTGAATCCAGAACCTTCTCGACGTTGCTGGGGGAAAAACCCGCAATGGAAATATTTACGTAACTGTGGGATATTCCTGTCCTTTCCCCAGCCATCTGGGGACACCGTTTTCCAGGCCTTCTCCTTGTTAAATCATGATCCCTATTTTACTGAAGCTCCACGGGGTTCCATGATGGTGCATCCCAGTTTTAGAATTGTAGTGTTTTTACAGATTAACAGAGTTGGAAGGGTCCTTGTAGGTCATTTAGTCCAACCCCACACCCCACCCAAGCAGGAGACCCTACACCATTTCTGACAGAGGACAGTCCAGTCTCTTCTTGAAAGCTTCCAGTGGTGAAGCTTCCACAACTTCCGAAGGCAACTTCTGTTCCACTGATTGCTTTCACTGTCAGAAAATTTATCCTTATTTCCAGGGTTAAATCTCTCTTTGTTCAGTTTCCATCCATTATTTCTTGTCTGGCCTTCAGGTGCTTTGGAAAATAGCTTGACCCCCTCATTCTCTTTGTGGCAGCCCCTCAGATATTGGAAGACTTCTATCCTGTCTCCCCTGGTCCTTCTCTTCCCTTAGACCAGCTATGCCCAGTTCCTGCAACCGTTCATTATATTATTATTATTATTATTAATTTGTTTTCTTAAGTTTTCGCGGGTACTTACATGTATGGTATTCAGCTTTGTTCGGGTATTTTCCCACGTCATTATAGTTGTGCTTTTAAAGTTGTAGCAACGTTTCGGCAGGATCTCATCTGCCATCATCAGGCTTCTGTATTGTGTTCGTCTGTGAGTCAGACTTTCACAGCCATTTCTGTTTTAAATTTGGTGCTAGCCTACTGCTGTGCCAGAATGGTTTTTTCTTCCTCCTGATTGGTTGGGAGTCTTGGTCTGTGTTTATTGGTCTTGGAGTTTACTCTGTTCTGCTTGATTAGTGTTTCTAATATCTTATGTCTGTTTTGTAGCTTTTTTTGTCTTGATTGGCTGGCAACATTGTGTTTCCTGTGTTGGAGGCTTTTAGTGCAGCTTGGCTTCGAGTAAATGGACGGCTATCATTCATTAGCAAGCTAGGTTTCATCTGGGTGCCTGGTTGGTGTGTGTTTGAGTTGGAGGTATCAGGAGGAGTCTGTTCGCGCCCAGGTGTTTGCCTGGCTTGTGGTGTGGAGATTTTTTTGTTTGAGAGTGCAGGCTTCCAAATAATTGACAGTCTGGTGGAGTCATCTATTCATGCTTTCATATATATAATTTTATAGGGACCCTTTTGGTGAGAAGGTCACAGTGTTCCATGCACCTTTGGCATTTAGTCATGCCGGGCACATGACCACGGAGATTTCTTCGGACAGCGCTGGCTCTTCGGCTTTGTAACAGAGATGAGCACCGCCTCCTAGAGCCAGAAATGACTAGCATGTATTGTGTGCAAGAGGAACTTTTACTTCACCTTTTACAAGGAAACTCACTGAGCCAATATCTCACTTAACAACAGAAATATTGGGCTCAAATGTGCTAGTAAGTCGAGGACGCCCTTTATCCTATCCATCCGGTAGTGGAAATAGCCTATTGTGTCCGCCTCTACAAGGAGAATTACAACTCTTCTCTCTACTTAGTGGAAATCTCACTGGGAAAAAAATACTTTCTTCAGATGTTGCAATGAAAAGAGGCAGGATCGATCTAAAGCCCACATGGGAGATGTCTCGGCTGCCGGTGTCGGCACGTCTACTGGGATGTAGGAGATAACATGGTGCCTTTTTGTTAAGGAACATTTGGTTGTATCTGAAATGCCTCTGGTGGACATCTCGGAAGAGCAGCTAAGATGATCCAAAGGCCTGGAGACTAAACCATTTGAAGAACGGCTGCAGGTTTGGGATCTGGCTAGTCTAAAGAAAAGGAGAATTAAGGGGTGACATGAGATCAGCATCCCAGTATTTGAGGGGCCGCTGCCCCAAAGAAGAGGAGATCAAATTATTCTCCAAAGCACCGGAGGGCAGGATAAGAAACAATGGTTGGAAACTGATCAAAGAGAGAAGCAACCAGGAATTAAAGGGAAACTTCCTAACAGTGAGGATTATTAACCGGTGGGACAGCTTGCTTCCAGAAAACATGGGCGCTCGCTCCATCACTGGAGGTTTTTAAGAAGCAACTAGACAGTCACTTGTCTGAGATGGTATAGGTTCTCCTGCTTGAGCAGGGGGCTGGACTAGAAGACCTCCAAGGTCCCTTCCAGCACAATTCTATTCTAAATCTGTCCTGCCAGGGGGTGGGGAAAAAAAAAAAACTATATTGGCAACGTGTTTCTCGATTCTAATATCTCCTGGGAAGTTTCTAAGTGGTCTACTTGAGTTAGGAAGGAAAGAAAGAGCTTTATCTAATCCCTAACGGAGTTTGTGCCAAGACACAATTCATGATAACTGTCAAGCAGGCTTGTGAAGGAAAAGAGCTGAAGCTGATGTGAATCCAGCTTTAATTAAGGTTGAAAAATTGGAGTTGACTGCTGAGTCTTTGGCAAATTAGCTCAAGTGTATTATTGCGATGGAAATTAACTACTCTAGAACTCGGGGAAAATAAACAACGTGCCTGCCTTTGCAGGGTTTCCATAGAATTGCCAGCTTGTTTAGGACTGGGCTGGAAATCAGGAAGGCAGAATTGGGACCGTCAGATGCCAAGATGGAAGCAGAAGCTCTGGATATGTATTTTTTTGTTGTTGTTGTTTGAAAGCCTCCAAGACGTTTAAGAGAGCCAGTCATCCTTGGGGCTCTTCCAGACTATAATGATGAAAAATGGAAAAGACCATCTGTTGGGTGATTCATCTTTATGTAGTTAACAGCAGGTTGGCCCAGAAACTAGTTTGCAAAGAGGTTCACCTTGACCCCTCTAAAAAAAATAAAAAAATAAAATAAAAAGGAACTTGGCTTGTCAAATGTAAACAAGGTTTCTAAGAGGTTTTCCCTGTTCTGCAGCAATAGCACTTAGGCTTATATACCGCTTCACGGTGCTTTCCGGACCTCTCTAAGCCGTTTGCAGAGTCAGCCTCTTGCCCCCAACAAGCTGAGTCCTCATTTTCGGTCAGGATTGAACTTCTGGCAGTCAGCAGAATTAGTCTGCAATACTGCATTCTAACCACTGGGAGGGAAGGAAGGAAGGAAGGAAGGAAGGAAGGAAGGTCAATAGCAATAGCACTTAGACTTATATACCACTTCCCAGTGCTTTCCGGACCTCTCTAAGCCATTTGCAGAGTCAGCCTCTTGCCCCCAACAAGCTGAGTCCTCATTTTCGGTCAGGATTGAACTGCTGGCAGTCAGCAGAATTAGTCTGAAATACTGCATTCTAACCACTGGGAGGGAAGGAAGGAAGGAAGGAAGGAAGGAAGGAAGGAAGGGTCAATAGCAATAGCACTTTGACTTATATACCACTTCCCAGTGCTTTGCAGTCCTCTCTAAACAGTTTACAGAGTCAGCCTCTTGCCCCCAACAATCTGGGTCCTCATTTTACCCACCTCAGAAGAATGGAAGGCTGAGCCAACCTTGAGCCGCTCAGAATCGAACTGTTGGCAGTGGGCAGAGTTAGCCTGCAATACTGTATTCTAACCACCGCACCACCACAGCTCTGCACCTATAATACGAATGCTGGGAGCTAAGCTTCTTGTACGTAGAGTGAAGGAGAAGGTTTATAAAAGAATAGCAGAGTTGGAAGGGACCTTGGAGGTCTTCTAGACAACCCCCTGCTCAAGCAGGAGACCCTATACCATTCCAGACAGATGAGCTGTCCAGTCTGTTCTTAAAAGCCCCCAGGGAGGGAGCACCACACAATTTCTGGAGACAAGCTGTTCCACGGATTAACTGTTGTCACTGTCTGGAAATTTCCACTTAGTTCTAGGTTGGTCCTCTCCTTGATTAGTTTCCGTCCATTGTTTCTTGTCTTTCCTTCAGGTACTATGGAAAATAGGCCGACCCCCTCTTCTTTGGCGGTAGCATTGTTTGTCCTAACCTGTGGAAGGCATGATCCATTTTGTAGAAAGGGGACCTTCCTAGTTTGGAGACGATGAGCACTTCCTTGATCGATTTCTTCTGGATGGTTCTTCCTGCAAATAAACCTTCAATGAGCATCCATTCTGGGTTTAGTTTTGCTTTTGAAACAGGAATTGGAAACCGCTGGGCTCCATCTTTTAAGTTGAAAGCGAAGGATGTTGTCGTGGAACCATAACAACAAAAGAAGAATAACCTTGTTTGGATAATGGGATGTTCCCTCCGGCCACAACTTTCCTTCCTTGAGCTGAGGAAAAAAAAAACCTTGCGTGTAACTGTTTTGCTTTTATCCCCTTCCCCTGTCTTCTTGTTGTAGGTCCAACGTCGAATGACAAGGCTGAAACAAAAGCTGGAAACCTCCCTAAAGTCTCCGGGTTAGAACGCAGCCAGGAACTGAACACAGACCTGCCATTTGTTCTACCCCTTTCCAGCCCGCCACCTACCGCAACCATCGTGACGTCCAGCTCTTCGGTACCCACGTCAAGCACCCGAGCTAGCCCGCTCTTGAAAAAGGAACCCTTGATCCCAGCACCAGCACCTCCGAGGCTCACCCCTCAGCCACAGCCTCGCCCGCAGTCACAACCTCAGCCTCGTCCGCAGTCGCAACCTCAGTTGTTGCCCGAGCTTCGGACACAGCTGCCGAGTCATATTCCCCCACCCCTCAGTTACCAGGTCCATCACCAAGTGGCCCACAACGGAATCAATAATATCAGGTAGGGACCGCCAAGGTTGATTGGAAGGCGCTCTTCTCTGCAGCCTTTGTGTGTGTGTGTGTGTGTGTGTGTTTGCTTTTGCGTGTTTTCAAGCTAGCACCCAACTCAAGGGTTTGGACCATCGTTGGCAAAGTGCAAGCAACCAGGACAGCTCCGAGATTGGGCCAGATACGTTTCTTTATTGTTGATCCACCAGTTTACAAGAAATTCACCAGGCTGTCTGCCTCCCCTTGGGAAAGGCACATATATAGACCTAAGGATTTGACTTCAAACACTTCCTTCCCCAATTCATCTCTAAGCTGGAATGTCTTTTAACTCCCCTAACCGGGGCCTCCAGCCAGCGGTTCCACCACAATCGTTTCCTGGATTCCTACCCCAAATTCCTCAAAGTTTGTGGGAGCAGGAACATGGCAGTGAAGGTTTTCTGTGGTTTTTACAAACCCTTCTCTATCTCCATGCACCGGGCTTGAAAAACCACATGAGTTTTGACAGCATTAATAGAATAGAATAGAATTCTTTATTGTCCAAGTGTGATTGGACACACAAGGAATTTGTCTTGGTGCAAATGCTCTCAGTGTACATAAAAAGAAAAGGTACATTCGTCAAGAATCATAAGGTACAACACTTAATTATAGTCATAGGGTACAATAAGCAATCAATCATACTAGGAAACGGTCAATATAAATTGTTAGGATACTAGCAACAAGGTTACAGTCATCGTCACAGGTGGGACGGGATGGGTGAAAGGAAGGGAGGATTAATACTTATAGTGTAGTGTAGGCTTAGTAAATAGTTGGACAGTGTTGAGGGAATTATTTGTTTAGCAGAGTGATGGCGTTCGAGGAAAAACTCCCTTTGTGTCTAGTTGTTCTGGTGTGCAGGGCTCTATAGTGTCGTTTTGAGGGTAGGAGTTGAAACCGTTTATGTCCAGGATGTGAGGGGTCTGTAGATATTTTCACAGCCCTCTTTTTGACTCATGCAGGATACGGGTATAAAGAATACAGGGGAGTTTCTCCAGGTCTCCCAGCTCCTGGTGGTTTAAGTGGGGGATATGATAAAGGTAGAAAAAGGAGACCAAAAGTTGTGGAGGGTATTTCTCATTCTGTTCTTGAGGGAAGACCCTCAGAACATCACGGTTAACCAGCGTGGAGGATAAAATATCACGAAGAACGTCAAGTTGGGAACAGCGAGTCCATCTCAGATGCACCGAACGGGAAGGAAGGTTCAAGGAAGAAGAGACTTAAGGTCATCCAACCAATGCTGGACCCAATTCAGTTGTCAGAAGGAGCATTTCTCTGTGAGTTCTGGAACAACAGGGTCCAGAAGTTCTAATTCTGAAAAACCTGAAGTCCAAGAAGAAGGCTAGTCTACCCACTGCAAAAACTTTTGTTTTCTCGGCGATAGAGTGCTGGGATGCTTTCAAGAATGAGGGTGTTGTTTTGTAGACTACCTGGTCCTTCTCTAACCATGTTCTTCTTCTTCCTCTCTCTCTCCCCCACCACCCCATTTCTTCTGTTTCTCTCCACAGCAGAAGCAGCAGCGCCAGCAGCGCCACGAGCATTAGCCTCCCCAAGCACCTTTCTCTCTCCCCACAGATCCCACCCCACCATTCCTCTGGCCCCGTGGTGCCCCTTTCCATCTCCAATCTTGCCGCTTCGCACTTCCCTCTCCGATCGCAGTCCCAACATCAGCATCATCCGGCCATGTTCGCCACCCCTCCCACGCTGCCGCCCCCACCTCCAGCCTTGCCCACCAACAGCCTTGTGATCCCGGGACACCCTGCAGGTAAGTCCCATCTGGCTCTCCGGATGCTAGACTAAGATACGTTGGCCACCCCTTTGAAAGAGGTACGTGATTGAGTACCTTGGTCAAGTATGTCACTAACCTTTGGGCCCAAGAGACCAGGTCCATGTGCGAAGGTCCAATTGAACTACTCTATTGCTAAAAGACCACGTGCAGGAATCTTCTCAACTCACGGTAGGAATCGAGAACGGGAATCTTCTCAGTTTCTGCTAGACATGAGATAGGAGTCAGCGGAATTTAAGGGACGTTGTTCGCTTGTGACTACGTAGGGATTCTTGGCTGATTCCCCCTTTTCACTCTGCCCTCAGGGTCTGCCACTCCTCCTGCAGTAACAAGAATCAAAACCAGCCAGGGAAAATGAGAAAAGAAACTAGGGCTCTTTTGAGTTTTAATCTCAACGTCAGCCTTCTGAGTAATGCTGAAAGCAAAACTGAAAGCAAAACTCCGAGGCAGGTAGATTCCTCAAAGAACAGGTTCATTGGATACATCGTACTGGCGCCACTGGCGAAAGCCAACTCTAAAAGTTCCTGCAGTTTTCACCCAATTAAAAAGAGAGTTATTTTTTTCCCCTTTCCCCAAGCCATCAGCCAATAGAGTCCAATAGAGATCAATCAGCCACATGGTCCAATAGAGATGCTGACAGGTTGCTTGGTTACTCCGCTCCTCCTCTCTCAGCCACCTTTTGGAATGACCTTGGATCCCACAGGAAGAACTTGGCTTTGACGGCAAAAGCCAGCTGTTTTCCCCCTTCCCTGTCCCCTCTTTTGCCTCGAGGCAACTATGACGTCGCAAACATGGCCTCAGCCAGGTTCGCTCCAGGGTTGACACTCAACTTTCTTTGAACAGACATAACCCCGCAGTGGCTCAAAAAAAACCCACCATCATCTCTTTTGAGTTAAATGTTCCACTCTGTCCATCCTTTTTTTTTCCTGCAAGTCTCGGCCTCTGCCCCGGATAAATAGTAGCATGCTACTGGGGCAGAGAAATGCTTAGCCCCGTGGAGTTATAAAATAGGAGTGAATTAAATCTGATATCCTCCAGATGTGTGGAGCTTCCTAGCCAAGATGGGAATTGGGACTTGAGCCATGAAATTCCAGCACATGTGGAGAGAACCGAGAAGTTTTGCATCAGAGATGCCATTTTACATAAAATCCCCCTGTTGTACCTAACATGCAAGTTTCATCCTTAGTAGTAGATGGACCATTTAAAAAAAAAAAAAGTAAACCTTACTGCACGTCCCTTTTTTGACAATTCCTTCCCAGCTGCAAAATTCTTCCAGCAAACACTTGATTTTTATGTGCCATCACTGTGGGAAAACAGGGAGACCCGGCATTCATCGTTATTCATTTATGGAGGCAAAACCAATCCCTCAATAACATTCACAGCTGGGAATTAATCAACGTATGCAAATGGCATTGCTATCGTTTGCAGGACAAGAGCAAATTCACGACTGAGCCTACATATGAAGCAGGGCTAAACTAGGAAATATGGGGGGGGAAATTGTTTTGGTGGACAGCAGTCCTTCCTCTAGAAGGCAAATAAACATAGGCAATAAACATTCACACATGCAATAATTTCTCCATGTTCCAGATTTGGGGGCATGTGCTCCCCCTTATAAGGCTGGACGCCTGTATTCCTGGAGGAAGCAAAACTTTTATCGATTTTTTTGATTCGCAAGATTTGAAATTTTCCCTGCACATTTCAAAGTATGGATTCATTTCAGGGCTCTCTGTGCCCTGTAAGATCCCCTGTATAGTTTTCCATTGCCTTACATTTGTTCCTGCATCAGCTGGGATCTCTGGTGGATTTCTCCAGAGTTAAAGGCCCCCTTTTGATCTGACTCTATAATTCACGCATTCGGATTAAATGGTGAAATCCACACACGCACAAAAGCAACAATCCTAAAACACCAAGAAGAGAGAGAGGGAGAGGGAGAGAGAGATGGTAGAGCGAAGAAAGAAAACTAGATCGCTCGGGGATTAAAATAGCTGCACATGTATGCCAACACCTTCTCCTATTTCCTATGCAAAGCTAGATCTGAAGTGAGAAAGAGGAGCTTGGAAGTGAGAGATTTTATAATCGTTAATAAGCAATGATGCTTTTGGGTTCTCTCATTTCTTCCTTGGAAGGTTTTGCAATTCAACAGATAGGAAATAAGAGAAGAAAGTGGCCATCGCGGTGCTGTAGGCTGAACTTCTGTAGTTCCCATCTCCATTGGACCTTTTCTTATAAGTTTGCCTTCAGTCCCGGAGACTTAAATCAGAAAGATGTCAGACTGAATTTGTCCATCCAGACCTGCTTATCCAGAACCTTATTCAGTGGGGCAACTCCAGAGCGGGGCAGAAATGTTGAGGTAGAGCCATGATGGCGTGTGCCACAGGTGGCACTTAGAGCCATTAGTGTGGATGTGTGAACCCAGCCAAACTTACTTGCATTGCGCATGCGTGCGCCTCTTAGCTGATTTTCGGCCCATTTGAGGCCATTTTTGCCCTCCTGGAGGCTCAAGGACAGCCTTGGAAGGCCGAAAAACGGGCCTTCCAGAAAGTGAACTGCCGAAACTGGCCTTGATGCTGCCCTAATTCCCACACCTCCTCCTCCTTATTTAGCTGCTGGAGGAGCCCGTGGCCAAGAGGCCACAGAACAGGTCCCGAAAATTGGTTCTGACCCAGTTTAAATCATTCGTTCGACTCCAATGCACCATTCAGGTCTCTGGCATTTGTTTATCGGTACAATCCGATGCTTCAAACCCACCTCACTTTAGAGAAACAAAAATCCAAGGCACGAGATCATCTATTGCCCAAAAGGAGGCTTGGGAAAAAACCTCATTGCAACCCAAGTCACATCCCATTAATATTTCAACCGGGTATTTCCAGCAACGTAAGGAAGCTGGATTTCAGGTTCGAGCCGTTTTGAGGAATCGTAATGGCTCTTATCCATCGCTTGGGAGATAACTCTCAGGTCTCCATTTCAACGCGGCTTGCAATGTTGGCTTTGCGTGATCCGGAAGGGGTTTTGAAGGGTGGCTTTGAAAAGACTGACATGCCAGGAGGGAGTGGGGTCGAGTTTGGGTTTGGAGGGAGTGGGGTTGAGTTTGGGTTTGGGTTTGGGAGGTCCCCTTCTAGAAGAAGATAGGAGAAGCCATGACTTAGGTTGTTTTTCCCTGGCCCATGAAGGACACGAAGCATAATCTGGTTGGTGGGCCTTATCCGTCCCACCAACCTGAAACCAAAGTCGCAAGGAACCATGTAGACTTTTAAGGACCAACCTCTTATTCATCGCAATGCATGAAGTTCCTCCAGAGATGATGGTGGGGTTGGAAGAAGAGATGGAGACATCGCTGGGTGGCCCTTCTCTCTCGGCTCCCGAATTTGTTCTCCCGAGAAAGCAAGATCAGTCATGACCCCTCGGGGTCTCTGGGGTTGGTCAGTGGTGGTGGGAAGGGGCTGAATGTTGCTAAAAAAACAACAACCCCCCCCCCCCCCCAAAAAAAAACTGTTTTCTACTGTGGTGGCTCATTGTATTCTCTCTTGTTCTTTAGATACCAGCCTGTTGATATCATTCAACCAACCAATCATGTATTGCCAGCCTCATTCGGGGATTCTGATTGGTACATTGTCACAGGCATCTCTCTTACCTCCACCAATGAGTTCTCACGTAGAAAACCATCACAGCATGACGTGCAGAAATAGGGAATGCCAGGTGAATGTTTTGAATTATTTTACCTCTACGTTTTTTGTGGAACTCACAGGCTGCTGGGCCCTGGTGTCTTTGTCTGTTTGTTTGTTTCCTCCCCCCCTTCCCCTCCCCTCTCTCTCTTTCTCTCTCCCCCTCTCTTTCCCTCCGTCCCTCCTCTCTTCCTCTTGCTCCCTCCCTCTCTCTCTCTCTCTCTCTCTCTCCTCTCTCTCCCACTGTCTTTCTCTCTCTCTCTCTCCCTTTCTCTCTCTCCCTCTCTTTCCCTCTCCCCTCTTTCTCCCTCTCCCCCTCTCCCCCACTCTTTCCCTCTCCCTCCCCCCTCTCCCTCCTCCTCTCTTCCTCTTGCTCCCTCTCCTCTCTCTCTTTCCCTCTCTCCCCCCTCTCTCTTTCCCCTTCTCTCTTCTTTTTTCCCTCTCGTCCTCTCCCTCTTCCCCTCTCTTTCCCTCTCCCTCTCTTTCTCTCTCCCCCTCTCTTTCCCTCTGTCCCTCCTCTCTTCCTCTTGCTCCCCCTCTCTCTCCTCTCTCTCCCACTGTCTTTCTCTCTCTCCCTCTCTTTCCCTCTCCCCTCTTTCTCCCTCTCCCCCCTCTCCTTCCCTCTCTCTCTTCTCTTTCTACCTCTCTCCCTCTCCCCCTCTATTTCCCTCTCCCTCCCCCTCTCTTCCTCTTGCTCCCTCTCTCACCTCTCTCTCTTTCTCTCTCTCTCTGCCTCTCTCCCTCTTTCCCCCCCTCTCCTTCCCTCTCTCTCTTCTCTTCCTCCCTCTCTCCCTCTCCCCCTCTATTTCCCTCTCCCTCCCCCTCTCTTCCTCTTGCTCCCTCTCTCTCCTCTCTCTCGTTCTCTCTCTCTCCGCCTCTCTCTTTCCCTCTCTCTCTTCTTTTTCTCCCTCTCGTCCTCTCCCTCTTCCCCTCTCTTCCCCTCTCCCTCCCTCTCTCTCCCCCCCTCTCTTTCTGTCTCTCTTTCCTCCCCACTCTTCTAGATCACGAGCTGCTTAGACAAGAACTGAACAATCGGTTTTTGATTCAGATTGCGGACAGGACTGGCGGCTTGCTCGGTCTGGTGCCGATGCTGAGGGCGGAGTTCCATCAGCACCAACACACTCACCAACACACCCATCAGCACACAATCAATCCTTTCCCGTCCAGCCTGCCCCAGAAGCCGCACTCTGCACCTTCCCTGGTGCGTACCCCTTCCCCAAACGTGTGGATAAGTAAGAAATGCCTCTGGTTGACCCTGGTTGAAGGATGCCCCAAACTGGTCTCTTTCCGCTAGTCCAAAGGATGTGTTGCTTTTAAGACATGGTTGTGGTTGCAGCTTTTTGCCACAAAACAAACATGGGGTAATTTGCTACTGCTGTTTCTTAGTTATTACCTTTATTTTATCTGTTTGCAGGCAGGAGAGAGGGTTGCGGTCTCAGATATTCCACTAAGGCAGACCTGGGCATTTAGATATGTCTAATCTAACACTTGGTGTGACATGATAACAGTATTCCAATATTTGAAAGGTTGTCACAAAGAAGAAAAGGTCAAATTATTCTCCAAAGCCCCCTGAAGGCAGGACAAGAAGCAACGGCTGGAAACAAATCAAAGAGAGAAGCAACCTAGAACTAAGGAGGAATTTCCTAACAGTGAGAACAATTTAATTAGTGGAACGAAGTGGCAGTGCTCCATCACTGGAGGTTTACAAGTAGAGGATGGACAACCGTTTGTCTGACATGCTATAGGGCAGGGGTGTCAAACTCAAGGCCCGGGGGCCGGATCCAGCCCACGGGTGCTTAGATCTGGCCCGTGAGGCCGCCCTGGGAACAGCAAAGGACTGGCCCGCGGTGCCAGCAAAATCAGAGCTCGGGAGAGCTCCTCCCAAGCTCCGTTTTCACTGGCCATAGCTTGCAGGAGGCCATCACAGCTGAAAACGGAGCTTGGGAGCCGCTCGGGCCACCACAGGCGCCCCCGACACGAGTGACGCTGAGCTGGCCACACCCACCCAGCCTCCCAAGGTCAAACACAACCCCGATGCATCCCTCAATGAAATCGCCCCCCCCCCCCCGGTATAGAGTCTCCTGCTCCATCAGGGAGTTGTGACTAGAAGACCTCCCAAGGTCCCGTCCAACCCTTTTGTTCTAAGCCCCTGAGAATCAGAAGAGCCAAACAAGGAGAGTCTTGAATGGCGAAAGGCATTTGGCGTGTCGGGGGAAACCCGCCACCCGCCGGCATGTTCTTAAACTCCAGAGCAGCCATCTTCCTTCCTTTCATGGGGCCCCCTCATCCTGCCGTAATCATTCAGCTGCCCGCGAGAATATTCTCCCCTCCGTTGCTATCCCAATCAGCGCCACCCAGTAGCGGTGGGAACATTTGTTTCTGTCCCGAATGTTAATATTTGGCTTGAGGAAGCCAAGACCCCATCAATAAGTGTCTGTACGTTCGACACTGACCAGGCTCTGTGTGGCTGTGTGTTTGTTTACGGCACGGCTGAAAGGCTAATTCAGGTATTCGGGTTATTTGAACGTTTCCTTCCCAAGAAGCCGGCTAGTGGAGTTGCTGCCCACCCACAAGCAACTTCCTGCTTTGCCCCCCCCCCCCACACCGCCCCCCAAATGTCACAGCCCGTTATGGTCCAAATTGGTTGGTTGGAAACACAGCGACTCTTTGACTCAGCGGGGGAGATCGCTTCTCCCGTCCTTTGGCCTTTTTTAAAAAAAAAAAAGAAAAAAACTTCACAGCAACTTCTGTGCCTTTAGAAAAACAGGCTACCGGAATTGGAAGGGGCCTTGGAGGTCTTGTAGCCTAACCCCCTCGTTCAATTAGAAGACCCTATACCGGTGGTGGCTAACCTTTTTGGGCTCCTGGGCCAAAAATTGCGCGTGGGCTGGCACTTGCACGCTCACGTGCCAAGACCCAGAAGGCAATGCGCGTCCCCTGCACGCCCCCTGCACACGTGCACACAATGCCCCCAAGCCACCGCCCCCTTGCCTGCACTGCACCTCACAGCTAATTTTCGGCTGGTTTGAGGCCTTTGAAAAAAGCCTCTGCAGGCTGAATAGGCCCGTTTTGTCACTTCCAGTATTACAGGAAGTGACAAATCAGGCAGGGGTGCGATTCAAATTTTTAACAGCCGGTTCTGTGCGTGTGGCTTAGGTGGTGGGCATGGCTTGGTGGTCATGTGGCTGGCTGGGCATTGCCGACTCAATATCCCTCACATCGAGGCATGCATCTCCTCGCCTGGCCTCTCATGACTGTGGGGATGCTGCAACAGTCATAAGTGGGGGAAATGGTCATAAGTCACTTTTTTCCATGCCATTGTAACTTTGAATGGTCACTCCACACAAGCAAAGTACAAGCAAAGGAGAGGGAAAAAAAATTTCGGAGAACTTCCTGAGACAGGAAGTCTAGTCCTGCCAAGAAAGTAATAAGGGTTAACGGAGAGGCAGTTTCTGTAAGCAACCCCAGAATGTTTCCTTCCTGCCTTCCTTACAGGATTAGGCCAGTAATTTCTTCTAACACCGAGTGCTGAAAGCACGCATATGTGCAAAATGCAACACACGCTGCCCCCCATGCATGCGTGCATGCATCCCTCCTCCTGTGCATGCACGACAGGGGCCTGAAGACCAGCTGGCCAGTGGGGAGTACACATGCATGCGCGTTGGAGCTGAGCTGGGGCGACAGGGCACGTGCCCACAGAGATGATTCTGCATGCCACTTGTGGCACGCAAGCCATACGTCTGCCACCATGGTCCTGTACCATTTCAGACAAATAGCTGTCCGCTCTCTTCTTTGGAGCATCCTCAATTTCAGGAGGCCAGCCCTTCCACTAATTAATTCTTCTCACCGTCAGGAAATTCCTCCTTAAATCTAGCTTGGGTCTTTCCTTAATGATCTTCCACCCATTACTTCTTACCCTGGCTTCAGGTATTTTGGAAAACTCGTCAACCCCCTCTTTTCAGCCCCTCAAGTACTGGAAGACTGCTATCATATCACACTCACATACACACACACACACACACACACACACACACACACATGGTCCTTCTCTTCCTTCGTTCCCTGTAAAACGGGGCAAAATTCACTTTACAACTCTCTCACTTAGCCCCAGAAATTTGGGGCTCCGTTGTCATAAACCGAGGACTCCCGGTAACTAAATAAAATGTGACTGACTCCTTCCCGGCCCCTCAGTCCTGCCTTTAGCAAAGGCCGGGCTCAACATTTCTTCCCAGCCCTGTCGAAACAGGGTTCAGGGTTTTGCAACTCTGCGTATTATTATTATTATTATTATTATACACAAAAACGACAGTATACACAGCAAACGAGATAACCATGCTGGGTTTCGTATCACAAATCACTAGTCGAACCCTTCCTGAGTGTTTAGGACTGCGTGATGTATCGGCGGATTATGCGAGCAGATCCCAGTAAGGTGGCCTTCTGCAGCTGACCAAGGGTGATCTTGTCAGCGCCCATTGCTTTCAAGTGCTTGCCTAGGTCTTTAGGCACAGCAGCACCCAGTGTGCCCAGTACCACTGGAACCACCTGCACTGGTCTATGCCAGAGTCTCTGCAGTTCGATTCTCAAGTCCTGATATCTGATGACTTTTTCAAGTTCTTTCTCGTACTATTATTATTATTATTATTATTATTATTATTATTATTATTATTATTA